GAAGGTAACTCGAAGCTCGATATTCACCAAGTTAAAAAAAACTAAAGCTCAATATTGTCAATATGTAAAATTCTTAGCATATTCACATGGCAGAACAAACACCTACAACGAGCTGAACCCGCAATCAGGGCATCGGCCGGAAAAAATAGTGGACCAACGGAAAATCACTAACCTTTTATGGAAAGAGCGCACGTAGCGACATCCTCCTTCTTACTCTTCATAACCTGGTGAACGCGCGAAAAACGCTCCGAACCCCGTAAGGAACATTTTTGATATGGCCTCGGACAGTTCACGAATAAGTTGTCCAGTTATGAACCTAGCAATAGCATTACTATCCAAAGGCCCCATGTGAATCGCCTTTGTGCTTCGGAAACCGACAGGATACCGACGATACCGTCGTTACATGCGCTTGCTTACGATTAGTGATTTCGTCACAACCTCACTTGGAAGGATCGTAAACGGTACTATTCAGAATTGATGCTCTCAGAGACTTCTAGAACAAACATTAACCTAGAACAAACATGTGACCGATTTCTCAGTGCGGATGCAATTTTATAACACATTTTTGTGGATTTCGGGAACAGTTTTGAGGAAATCTGTTAAAAATGATTCGTAAGTTATGAGTCAGAGCCGGTTTGGATGTTCTTACACATCCTTGAATTACCTACACTTCAAACCTTGGAGCAGCCTCGAAATCGGTACAGGTAAGCCTAAAAGATGAGAGAGGAATTTCCCATTTACCTCACTCATCGGTACATCTGATCTTGATCGATCTGCAAACGCTTTGAAAACATCCAAACCGCAATACTTTCGTCCATCACAGGCGTCAATCAAGTGAGTGACCGGATAAAGTGTCACATTTCCATCGTTTTGATGATATCTCATCTGAAAATCAATCAGCTACATGTGAATGCTGGAAGGCTATTTGATGTCTGCTCTTCAGCAAGCGCGAATGAAAAACAAAGGCATTCTGCTTAGCTGAACCTTCCAACCTTGAAATAAGGTTCATTGTCGGTGCGGTTCAACCACAACTCAACAAACGCTCCAGCTGAGTAATCTGGATATCCGCACGTGCTGATCACTTTACTCTGGATGCCAAATATGGAGAAAAAAGCATAGACTGTAGTATCGTGCTAAACAAGATTCTTTTGTTAAATCTACAAAAATAAAGGTTGCAAGCATAGTTATATGGTACATGATAGCTTGGTGGGAAAGTAATCGGATTGAACAATACCCTCTGTGTGTAATGGAATGTACTCGACTTCAAAGTTATATCGTTTTCAGTACATACTACACAAATGTATCAAATATTTTCACAGGAGTTTTTTGTATTTGCATTTCTCACATATGTATTTTCAAGATTACAGTCAGTTCTTGGTTTGAATAGAAGTATTCCAGTCGAGGATCATGATGAGAGAGACTTCTGAACACTCTTTTCTATGATTTCAGTTATGGCCTTACAGCGACAAAAGTTACTGATAATATCAACAATGCATTTGATGTGAGCAATGTTCCCATTTTGTGGCTGTTATGTCGCGAAAAGTAGTGAATGATACTGTTAGAAGACCCTGAAGAGGATATTTACTTTCGCATTCAGAACAACAAATTTTTTTTTTAAATTGCATTCATGGCATCGGGATGTGTTGTAGAAAAAGGCATAAAAATGCCATCCTGCGCATCGGGATGTGTTGTAGAAAAAGGCATAAAAATGCCATCCTGCAACTAGATTGCCAGAAGTTGAAGCAGTCAAGTCTCGATTACTTTCTCACTATAATGGTAACCCTACCTTGCAGCGTGTGACCCCAGGTACGGTTGCCAGTATGAAGAACATCCAAATAGGCTTGGTATCTTCTCTGGGTTAGGTATCCGTAAAAGTGCTGGATAATCGAATACAGCAACTTGGAATTACGATACCTAACGGCCAGTGGTCGGCCAGTAACCCAAGGAAGTTCGAACATTGGCCGCCAGCCTATGTGGAATGTCTATATTTGAAATCCTA